CTCCGGACCAAAATCCCGACCTCCCTTTCAGCAGCCCCAATCGTCGGGCCCGCAGGGCCGGCGCCCGCTCCATCCGGGACAGGAGCGTGGATACCACAATGAGGCGGATCGATGAGCATGTGTCTCCAGAGGATAGTGCACGAAACATCGGTCACGCACGGGAGACCCCAACACCTGACACGCGGAGCTCCGCAACCACTTCACCCGAACCACAAGCCAGAGGCCACGCCCCACCACGTCACACCACGTACCACAGGAGGTCAGGTTCCCGGCCTCGTCTCGACACCCTTCAGATCCCCCCGACCCGACCCCAGTATCCGCGCGACGCCTACTCGGCACCAACCGCCACTCCACCCGAAACCGACATTAGCGAGGAACGGCCCGCTCGAAGACGGGCCAAGTCCCTCCGCCATGTCGAGATCTCACCCGCCGCCATGAAGCCCCTTCCTCCCCCGGCCCCCATGGCCCATCGGAACGAAGAAACGGCCTCGCTCCGCAGCGTGCGCTCCAGACGCTTTGATGAACAGGGCGGTGAGGGCCGCAAACGGGCTGCCGCCCGCGAGTACATGCCGCAGCCGCCACCGCCGCCAGGGGCTGCCGGGAGGGAGTCGGTGGACAGCGGATACCTGAGCGGACATCAGGCGCAGCGGAGCTGGGAGTCTGTCGGTCCGTCTGCCGCGGCAGATGCCGTGCCCAAACCTGGAGGAAAGGCGGGGAGGAACACCCTGCAGAAGGCGCCGCCTCAGAGTCTGACGCCATCGCAGGGTCAAGTCCAGGCCCAGACTCAGGCTCAAGCTCAGGCGCAGGCTCAGGGGCGGTGGCAGGGACAGGGCTTAGGGGAGACGCAACGACCCGTGCCGGCGCCGCTGGACTTAGGGGCGGCCAGGCTGCCGCCGTGCATGTTGCCTGTTTCGTTGCTGTCGCCGGGGGCGCAGTCGGAGACGGATGTCAGTCCCGTAGGGAAAGGGGGCAAGGGGACGCTGCTACAGCGGATGGGGCTGAGGCGGAAGTTTAGTGGCTTGTTGTGGGACCGGGGCGGGCAAAGGGAGGTTGGGGTTGAGGGATAAGGTATTTACTCTGCATGTTTGTGGTGAGAGAATACACCAGATACCCTGTGCATCTACAATGTCTTCTTTTTTGTGTTAGGGCATACTTAATGTGTGGAGGATTAGCTTGTAAAATACCCATTGATGACTGCATGAATCACGAGCACCATGTCTCTTGAGAGGGCGACCTTTCAGTGCGTTGCTGCTGCTCAGGGTTTCCCAGCTGACCATTGACCGGGCATCACCTGATCCTCGATGATCTCCGTTCCAGTTCTCGTTTGCAGTGAGGAGGCAGAGATATGCCCTGTCGAATGCGCCGCGAGAATACACAGAAAAACCAATGCACGACCCTGCCTTCACATATTCCCCTGTCCTGTGGGCCTTTCATCAACAAGACCATCAACAAGACAGAGGCGCGTCAGTGCAGACAAAGGCAGGACGATCAATGGCATAGCTTGTTCTTGTATCACTACTACTCATTGGGCAACTTTCAAGAGTACATGATCCACCTGTCAACCCCCTCAGTCAACAACCCCCTCGGGCAGAATGGAAATGTAATCCACCGGCGCCGGCTCGAGCCCGTCGGGCGTGCCCACAATCTTGAGGGTGCTCCCCCTCTTGATCTTGACGCCCGGGAAGGTGACGCGCGCGGCCGTCTGGCCGTCGATGTAGGGCGACGGGGCCCGGCCCAGGTTGTACTCGAGGTCGCCCTTCCAGCGGCCGACGCGGTCGGCGCCGACGTAGAGCTCCCACGTGGCGTTGCCCAGGGCCATGTCGTAGTAGTTGACGGCCACGTCGTAGCGGCCGGTCGCGACACGGTCCAGCACCGCGCTCGCCGTGGCCCGCGTCGAGTTGGTCTCGGTGACGATGCAGCGGGCGCCGCTCGCGGCTTCGAAGGGCGAAACGCGGTAGGCGCGGTAACCCTCCAGGGACATGGCCTCGGCCTCGATCCGGTATGGGTGGTTGCCCACGCGGCCGCGGGCGTCCGGGATGGAGGATTTGTTGAAGTAGAACTGGTTGACGCTGTCGCGCCACACGAGCGAGTGGCCGGCCTGGTAGACGAGGCGGTACAGCACGTGCTCGTAGCGCTCCCGGTCGATGCCCCGGCGGCCCTCGAGCTTGCGCCACAGCTGCGGGAAGGTTTGGGCCGTGGCGCTGCCCTCGTAGTGCGCGTCGTAAAAGTGCTGGATGACCGTCTTGCCCGACTTGAGCTTGTGGGTGTAGGGCACGTGGTGGAACCAGAGCATCAGGTTGTCGGGCGTCGTCTCGGGCCGCTCGTACATGGCGGCGATCTCGGGCGGGTACTGGCCCGTGAAGCCCGTGCCGTTCCACACGGTGCGGTCCATGCCGATCGAGTCGGCGTCGGCGCGCGTCCACTGGCCCCAGGGGTTGCCGTCCTGCGAGCCCGGGTTGGGCCCGTAGTGGCCCAGGAGGATGTCGGTCAGCGTTTGGATGCCGAGGTTGCCGCTGTAGTTCTCGTAGGCGGGCCACGAGGCCATCGACATCTTGGTGATGACGTCGACGACTTTGTGGTCGTCGCTAAAGGTCAGCTTGATCCACTCCTTGAGCACGCCCTCGGGCGAGGCCGACGCGTCCCAGGCGAGCTTGCCGTAGGCGTACAGGTTGGACATGGCCAGGTGGCTGCCCAGCCAGGTCGTGTTGGTGCCGACGTTGACGACGCCCGCGAAGCCGCCCAGCTTGCGCGGGAAGCGCCGGCCGCCGACGATGTCGGCCGTGGTGGAGCGCTTGCCGTCGACGCGGAAATCAAAGTCGAGTAACTCTTTCCACATGGGCGCCAGGTAGACCAGGTGGGCCTGCTGCCCGAGATATTCCTGGGTGATCTGCAGCTCGATGGCCGAGGCCGTCTTGCGCAGGTGGGAGAAGAGCGGCGAGACGGGCTCGCGGACCTGGAAGTCGATGGGACCGTACTTGATCTGGATGGCGACGTTGTCGTCGAACTTGTCGTCGAGGCCCTCGAAGTAGTCGCCGGCCGCGTTGGCCCGGTCGGCCTTCCAGTCGAGCGTCTGGTTGAGGGTGCGATGGTCGTAGACGAAGGCGCGGAACAGGATGATGCCACCGTGGGGCTTCAGGGTGCGGGCAAACAGGTTGGCGCCGTCGGCGAGGGTCCTGTTGTACGTCATGGGGCCCGGCTGGCCTTCCGAGTTGGCCTTGACCAGGTAGCCGACCATGTCGGGGATCCTCTGGTAGAGGGCGTCGGCGATGCCCTGCCACCAGTCGATGACGCCCTGATCGAGGGGGTCAAAAGTCGAGAGCCCGCCGAGGGTTTGGGGGGCAGCAAAGTTGAGCGACACGCCGAGCTGCACGCCGTAGGGGCGGAAGGCGTTGGCGATCCTCGCCAGGCCGTCCATGTTGGCCGGGGTAAGCGTCTTGGGGTCGGCATTGACATTATTGACGACGACGGCGTTGATGCCGATCGAGGCCAACAGGCGAGCGTACTGGCCGGCCCGGGTCAGGTCGTCACGGACTTTGCCGTCCCAGAAGAAGATCGAGTCGCCGCCGTAGCCTCTCTCGACGCTGCCGTGAGTGCCGCCATCCTGCATGTTGTCCCACTGGTTCACCCAGCGGATGGGTGCGCCGGGGTTCGAGGTCAGGGTGAAGTCGGAGCAGTCGCCCTGGGCGAGCCGAGTGAGGTAGTGGAAGGCGCCGTACAGAGCGCCTCGCTCGTTCTGGCCGAGGATCAGGACATTTCCGCAAGACACGCTGACGTGGAAGCCATCGTCGATCAGCTCCGGGAGGCGGGCTGCAGCGCCGGGGTTGCTGTCGACGTAGGCAGCGACTGTGCCCACCGTGGCAGTGGTGTCTCGCGATTTATGCCCACGGCGGCCCCTGCTGGCGACGATGCTGTCGACGTCGACTTTCTTGCCGATGATGCCGTCGAAGCCCTTGGAAAGCTCCTGGCCGGCGGTATAGACGGGGAATCCCTCGGTGGCGTTCAGGGTGACAATGGTCGAGGGAAGCTTGCTCTGGCAGTGCTTCGCGTTGTCGACCCGGGCGTACCGCAGCCAGGCATTGAGGCCGTCCTCTGCGGCGGCCCCATGCAAGCCGATGGCTGCGAGCAGCAGTAAGCTCCGCATCTTCTAGGGCTGGTGCGTGAGGTCGGGGGATGATGTTGGCGCGCCATGTGGTCGTGCCTGGGCATCGTCCCGTCTTCTTTAAATGCCTCCATCATGTCGTGCAGAGTCGAGTCGGATTGACTACGACAGTGCCATTGTCCCTGATGCCAAGGCCTCGATTCCCACTCTCCAATTTATCCTAAATCGGTCTTCTTGCTTCCCCTCTGCCAAGGTGAGGCAATGATCTCCAGTTCGCGGGTAAGCGATGTTTTTCCACCGCTAGGCTTTCTGGCTTTCTCCGCACAAAACTTGGAGTTGGGGAAGTTGGGAAGGTGAAGAGCCGGCTTCCCCACAACAATATTTGGGGAGCTTAACCCCAACCCCTGTTCCCCGGGTGGGGAGACAGCTCCGGCAACCCGGTCCTCTATCCGAACTTTAACCACAGGACGTAGAATATCGTGAGGTAACCGGCACCAGCACTCTCAATTCAGCCGGTTCATTCGCCCAGGCCATGGCTCGGTTATTAGTGGTTATGCCCTCATCGACTTTGTAGGCTTCCGGCAACGGAACTGATTTGATGAATAATTCAAGCCGCAAAAATGGGGAATGGGAGCGATATTGGGAGAGAAAACGGGCTACAGATGACAACACAGTGTGGCAGGTGCGATTTCCAGCATTACACGTGTGAAGCTGAGACGTAGTTTGGATGATGATCGAATCCTATTGCACAGATGAACCGCAGTCGTCCTGCGGCAGATAGATGGCAAGTACCACAGTAGAGGAAGGACAAGGAAAGGAGAGATAGAACGTAGCAGGTCGACAATTGAGTATTTAGTTGCTGTCATAATACGCATTCTTACTACATTTATTAATAAGTTCCGGGATAATAGTATAGTGGTCAGTACTTCTCGTTGTGGCCGATTCACAGCGATCCGAGAGGACCCAGGTTCGATTCCTGGTTATCCCATGTTTTGATTGTTCACATTTTGTCTACCCTAACAGCCACAATGTTGTCACTCTTCGCAGACAACAAATCTTCTGATTTTTCACCACTTCGGGACAATCGAATGAGTTGGAGCCACTCAACATTGTACCAAGATCCTATCTCTTCCTGGGATAGAGTGGTTGGACCACTTCATTTGATAATTTCATCAAGTATTTAACCTGCTCCTGTATTAAGGCAGCAAGTTGGCTTGTTCATCTTTGGTTCAATTGCGTGCCTTGGCACAGGGTCAAAAGTCAAAAGCAACCTCCAAGTTAGGTAGTTTATCGCAGAGTTATGTCGTCTTCATCAACTTCCAGGCCCCTCATCCACTGATCTCTTTAAGTACCACTCGAGATAAACACATTTGCTCATTCATTTCTTAAACCCCCCATGCTGCACTGCACCAGGATTGTGCTTGACATGATGCCCATGCTGGTCGGTATACAGCACCTTTACAGAGTGTCAGTCTACCTTCAGTTTATTTTTCCGAATTCACTTGCAAAGTGGCCAACAAGGGATTTAGGTCATAACTATTGATACCTTGGGTGGGTTCTTGACTCCCTCCTTCTCGGCCTCGTCCCTAGACGAGACAACCTTCTCGACCTCTCCCTCGTGCCTCCCGCCGCGTGAGCGGGCAAAGACATGATCGCCTTCTCGGATGGGCTCGTCGTTCTTGTCCTTGATTTCTGCCGGCATCATGGCTTGTTTTGGAGGGTAGATAGAAGGTGGAATCTACTGGATGGACCAAGGTAGTTTTAAACAGAGTGGATGAGTTTGCATGTAGTAGTTGGAAGATACCTCTAAGACAGGTAGGTCCCCTATTACTGCTTGTGTGAAGCCATGGGCTTCCACCAGCTGAAGGGTGACGTCATTGGATTCTGTCCATGAAAGACAGCTCGATGACGACAATCGACATGATGTACACAACCGGGCCCTTCACTTAGTTTGGCGACGGTTCCAGCGTCGAGGCTGAAACTGGTCCTCGGAGTTGGCCATTGATGGGGTCAGGTTATGAGTTCAGTCCCAAGGCAATGACTGTTGATTTCGATCATGGTAGCTCACGACTTCAAGGTTACCTAGGTAAGATGTGTGGAAGCAAAGGGGGGATTTAAGGATGGATTAATAGAGCGTTAATAAACCAAGAACACACTGCTTGTGCCTTTCAGAAAGAGCATTTTTCACACATAACCATTGAACATAGGGGTTTCCGGCCCTCTGCTAAAGCGTAACGATGCCCGCTTCATGTCACATTCTATCCTCAAGCCATAGACAATGCTGGTAAACACAAAACACCAAGGAAAACAAAACCCTCCGTCGGTGTCGAAACGAATCACTCATCACCTCATGGAGACGGAAGTTGGGTTTCCAATCAGCCGCTGCAGGTCCTCACAAAACACCAGACAAGTCTTCTCGGGTACTCCCGTGGTTTTTCTCCCTCAACGCTAGCGCATCCGTGGCATCACACATTAAAGAACGCAGAAATCAGCCAGCCAGCCGCATCACTCCACCTCCTTCTTCTCCGCCGACGCACCCGCCACGACCTCCTGCGCCCCCTGGATCGCCTTGTTCGCGGCGTCCGCAACGCCCTCAGCGGCCGTCCTCAGCGACGGCTTGGCGGCCTCGTTCTTGTCCACCTTTGCCGCCGCCTCGTCCGAGATGCGCGTCAGCTCGGTGACGAAGCTCTGCCCCCACCAGGCGCTCGTGTACTTGAAGACGTAACGCTCCAACTTATGGAAGTTAGCCTCTCGCTGCTCGGGCGACATGGTGACGGCGTCGTGGATGGCGTTGGCCAGCTCCTCGGTGTTCCACGGGTTGACCATGAGGCTGCCGTTGAGGCTCTGGGCGGCGCCCGTGAACTCGGACAGGATCATGACGCCGTGCTGCTCGCGCTGCGTGGCGATGTACTCGTACGACACGAGGTTCATGCCGTCGCGCGTCGAGCTGACTAGGCAGACGTCGCTGACGGCGTACAGGGCCGCGAGCTCGTCAAAGGTGACCGACTGGTGCAGGAAGTGAATCGGCATGAACTCGATGGTGCCAAACCGGCCGTTGATGCGCCCGACCAGCTCGTTGACCACGGCGCGCAGGTTCTGGTACTCTTCGACGTCCTGCCGGCTGGGGACCGCCACCTGCACCAGCACAATCTTGCCGATCCACTCGGGGTGCTCCGTGAGGAACACCTCGAGCGCGTGCAGCTTCTGGGGGACGCCTTTGATGTAGTCGAGCCGGTCGACGCCGACGATCAGCTTGACGCCTTCGAACTTGCGCTTCAGGGTCGCGATGCGGTTCTTGACGCTCTCCTTCTTGAGGCCTTCGACGAACTTTTCAGGGTCGATGCCGATCGGGAACGCGCCAACCGTGACAAACCTGCCGTTCCACTCGACGCCATTGGGGGTCGTTGTCGTCCCACTGGTACCGTCAGTCTCCCCATCACCAATTTGACTAACCGAGTTGAAACGTAGGACGAGGGACTCACAGTATCCGGGAGCAACTGCTCAGGAAGTGCCTCGCGTAGTCGTACGTGTGGAAGCCGATCAGGTCGCACGCCAGGATGCCCAGCAGCAGCGCTTCTCGCACGGGCAGAATGCGGTAGATCTCGCTGCTGGGGAAGGGAGTGTGAAGGAAGAAGCCAATCTTGACATTTTTCTTGGAGTTGCCGAGCTCCTCGCGCAGCATCTGGGGCATCAGCATCAAGTGGTAGTCGTGCACCCAGACCAGATCGCCGTCCTGCACGTCCTTGACCACTTCCTTGGCGAATAGCCGGTTGACGTCGCGGTATGCCGCCCATGCAGACTCGTCGAAGGTGATCTCGCCGGGGTGGTAGTGGAAGAGGGGCCAGAGAATCGAGTCTGAGAGTCAAGACGTGTTAGCCATCAGTGTGGGTTGAGAGTACCGAGGGGTTAGGGGTCAAGGGACGACGCGGAACTCACTGGCAAAGCCGTTGTAGTGGCGGTCGGCCAACTCATCGTCGACGAATACTGGAATCGCATTGTACTTCTCTTTCAACTGCTCCTTCATGGGCCCCGCCTCGGCTTCTGGCACCTCCAGACCGGGCCATCCGTACCATTGGAAGCTTGTGGTTTTGGACAGGCCGCTCAGGCCGGTGACGAGACCGCCCGAGGACATGGAGAAGGTATATTGGCCTTCATCGGAGCGTTTGATCGTGATGGGCAAGCGGTTGGAGATGAGAAGCAACCTGCCCGAGGAGGCGGTTGAGTCTTCGACGACGCCGGGCATGGTTTGAGGCCGGGGATGGGCAGATGGACTGGCCCACGAAAAACTCCAAAGAGCGCGCCTCGGTTGCGCGTTGATAGAATGCGGTTTCGGCGGGGTTTGGCAAAAGGTGTCTGCGTGTAGGGGCGGCCAAAATTAACAATGTAAAGAGCGATTGTTTGGTGTAGTTATTCCGAGGATCTGGCGGGCAATCGGTCGGCAGCGTTGGTGACGTTATGGATGGGAATCCTAAACCAAGGCTGAGCTTGAAACGGGTGATAAAAATGGCGGGGCAATCGCGGTGGAGAGCGGGGTAACTAGTAGCTGCCGCTTGTGCCGCTCCGCTCTCCGTTTGTGGTCACCTTCGGACGGAGGTAGACAGACGTCTTGATCAAAGTCCAAGGGACGCTGCGGTTGCCGTATAGGTACGCAGTAGATACGGAATGAAGGGCAGCCTAGCGATCCCTGCGCAAAATCATACTCGGGCAAAGTCTATCACAACGCATGAAGCTCTCAACTGCATCCCGCTCTGCTTCTCTGGCGACGTAATTTCAACTGCGGACAGGGATACCGGGGGCGGGACGGCCCCTTGCAAGATCTAGAAAACGCCAGAAGACCAGAACTTCCTCAAACAGCACGATAAATTCCCGGCCTTGTTCCCGTCGTCCTGGCCGGCCAATCACCCGCTCCCATAAGCGCGTCTGGGCAGTTCAAAGCGCGCAAGACACAGAAATGGCGCATTCGAGCATCGCTTAAGATCAATTTGGTGTGCCAAAAGGCGCGCAGCCAAATGGCCAACTGGCATGTTGGTGCGAGGTTTTACGCCATCCCCCTGTGTCACGGGTATATTCGGACCTTCTTTCCATCGGCGGTCCGCTGTGATGAACCACGAGGTTAAAACCGCACTTTTTGACCGGAGGCCGCCGCGAACCAGAAAAGGGCATCTGGCCAATCCTAACACAGTTAATGAGCACGCCCGGATGGCAGGCTTGTCGTGTATGGGTAGTACTTACCTTCAACGAAGTCGAAAATCTCAGCGCATACTTTTTATCCCACGGAGATCGGGCGTTCTAGCCGATGCGATCGCGACGAACCTGCAGCTGAACCGGCCAACCAGTGCGACTCCTGCGCCTCCTTTCGCGGGCCGAAACGCCAGCAGCCCTGCTGCACAGGCACATCGCTGCATCGCAACCAGGGTCTGCATGGCCGCATGCGGCCATGGAGGTGTTTTGCAACCTAAACATAGAAACCAACAACCTTACGGTCCTTACCTTGCGGCGTCGACCGCATCTTGCCTCTCGGGGGCGACGAGGCGGGCTTTGGCTCGAGGACGAGGGCCAACAGAATGCCAATTCGGGGGAAAAGCTTGCACAGGCTGATGGGAACTGGGTTGGCATACCAAGGTAGATTACCTTAGACGACACTTGCGCAAATGATAGGGGGATGTATGGAAAGCAAGTCAATACCTAGGTAGGTACCTTAAGGTGCCTTAGTAGTGGACTTCACCGCAACCCTGCTTCAGGCCCAGCCTGCTGAGCGGGCGGTGCAAACGTACAAGTACATGTGAGCTGATCTCCACTAAGTAGGTAAGCTCCCTACCTAGGTACAACTAAGGGAGATACCTGAACCAAGGTACGCGAAGATGCTACTAGTAGCATCCGCTCGAGATTGCCACTCGAAGCCCGGACCCTTAGCGACGAACACTCAACCATCAGCTGCCCCTCCAGGGGGCGCATCCAGTGCCTTCCAATGCTTCCACGTCCCGTACC